CTTTCCCCTCTCTGCCCCGCAACACCTCTTTCTCCCTTGTTCTTGTCAACAACTGGTCTTTAAGATGACAGGTGAGAACGTTAGAGGTTCCTGATATTCATATCTGGGGAGTTACTTCACAAAGGTTTGTTTAAAAAGGATTAACTCTCCCCTTTCACCCAGTGGCTGAGAAATTGCTCCTGTGGGGACTGGTTGCTAAGGCCTCATCCTCAGCGCAGCAAGTCTTTGTGCTGCAGGAACAAGGGCACAGCACAAAGAATTGGCTCTGTTCCCTCTTCCTGAGAGTTTAAGGACCCGCTGGGTCCTGAATTGGCTCCATACAAATCAGAAAACTTTTCCAGGGGGCTGATGATTAAAAAAAAAATCCAGCTCATTTTTAGCTTTTACTCCAGGGAATGTAGAGAAAAATTAGGGAAAAAAACCAAAACAAAACACCCCTATACTCATCTGCTCTCTATTTAAAATGGGGGGAAAATCGAGGAAGCCAGTCAGTGACTTTCAGGTCAAACTGCAAATCTGACTAAGCTATCTGCCTGTATGAAAAAGCAGAAACTGAACTGCTGAACAACGGAAAGAAAAAAGTTGGTGCCTTGAGCCCTACCTTGAGGTAGGACACAGCAAGGGCCAGGAGCCTTTCTTTGAAAAAAAATAAAATAAAGTAGCATTTTGTAGTCTTTTTAGAGGGAATGTAACCATTTTGCTGCTGAATACAACGGAATGGAATACCCAAATTGTCAAGCCAGTGAATTGAGTATCTTATTCAAATGATAGCACAGTGGCCAGATGACGGCCATGGCTGACACTCAACACTCTGTGGCTCAGCCAGTCCTGGTATCATGTAAAGAATTAAATGTAAAGACAATATGGCCATGTCCTGATTCTGTTTTCATAGGAGCCAGTCCTGCACTTGTTTACCTTAATAAAAAGGCCAATTGGAATTAAGTCGCATTGTCGGGAAGAGGGGTAGGGACATGCCTCATGTCTACAACAACCTTGCAAATAGTCACTCTTCTGGGATGAGTGACAGTTAGCTAGACAAGTGGTAAGAATTTCTATAACTTAGGAGACAATGGATCATCTCCTTAAGGAGGCAGGTGAAGCTATCTGCAAGGATGTTCCACAGTCCATTAGGAAAAGGACCAATTTCTGGTAACCTGCCCTCTCCCATTAGATTTTTATATGTATGTGGTTTTTGATGGGGGAAAAAGTGTCCTTTACATCACCCATGTAAGCCGTAGCAACAAAGTTTCAAGTTCCATGTATTTAAGTCTCAAAGAATTCCCTGCTGTGGGATGTAGAAAACCAGTAGCAAAATGGTTCACTGCACAAGGAAAATGAGTGGCATTTCATGAAATGAATTAACTGATAACCACAATATTAGTTCAAAAAAAGGAAAGGCAAAAATTGAAACTAAAAAAGAACTTTCTTAGGGGAGCAAAGGGGGGCAGGAAGGAGGCGGGGAAGAGTGTTTCATGCTTATCAATGTGATGTTATCCTGAGAAGGTATACCCTTAAGGAGCATGCGACTGAATTTTAAAAGTATTACGTACAGAGATTCAAATGACACCTTTGGAAGAGAGAAGTGTGACAGACTTAATGAGATTCGAGATCCAAATAGATGCTGAACTCAATACGACAGCAGCTGAGAGGAGGCTGGCTAATCATTCTGCTTACAGAGACCAGTCTTTGTTATTGATTTCTTTGACTGTTTTCAGGTGGGATCGACATAATATATTCATAACCAAAGGCATTTACAACTACAAAGTCTCTGACACTGTAAGAGGTTAAGAAAAAGTACTGTCACAGCTGGATCATGTTTTGTTTTTTGGGTTGTCGTTGTTGTTCTATTTTCTCTTTGAACTTTCGAAATGTGAAATACAGTAAAACCCCCTTATAACACAGCTCGTGATTTTACTGCTTTGGGAACATGGTGGGTCAGATTGAGTTCCCTAATCGTAAGGATAGCTCGCCGGAGTCGACGACTGATGTCACATGGCAGGCCTCTGAGACTGGTGTTTGCCTCATTCCCTCAGCGCTGGTGTTATAAAGGGGTCCCACTGTGTCAGGGAGTGTCTGTTGGGAAGGAAAGCCGTTTTAGGGTAGAAAATAAACAGTGGTTCAAAATGTGATTGCTAATCAGTACAAAAAGACCTTCAGCGACTGACCTTACTCCCGGAGTCCTTCGCTCCGCATTCCCCCTTATCGTACCACCATTTGTTTTTCAGCTTGTCTAAGATGCCTTGTTCACTGAGTTTCAATACTGCAAGGTTTACAGGCGTTCTTCACGTGGGAAATAACATAAATAACATTATATTATGTTATTTTATGTTATTCAAGCTTCAAACTACTTTAAAACTATAGAAAGCGATAAAGCAGGGGGCCCTGGCCACAGAGTAATTTTAGACACTGCAGGCAACCTGAGCATTACCTTATAAAAATTAACACTACAGCAACGCTATATTTACCAGGGCCTGCCCATATCGCTTTGAGTAATCGGCACACACTGTTAAATAATGAGGATAGAAAAAAGGCACTCCTCAGATAGGCTGTGTGGGGTGAGGAGGGTCTCCCCTCAAGTGACAATTGTCGGCGGCAGCTTGCAGTAGCTTTGTGACGGAGGTGTGTTAGGTTTGATCTAACTGGGTGTCTTGTTGTACTTCCAGACAGAAAGCAAGTTTTGTGGAGGAGTGGGGAAGGGAATGGGACCAGAAGGGGAGGCGTTTCCACATGTGGAGACAAAAGGATGAATCCGAACAGAATAGAAGATAGATTCTACGTGAATAACATGCCTTCTGATGAGTTGTCCTTTATTATACATGTCTGTTGCCCAGCTGAAAATGATCTCAGAAAGAACTGTACTACATACATGTCTTGGCAAACTGCATCCTTATGCACATACTTGTCTTAGTATTAAGGGTATAACGTGGACCTCTGAGTTTTGGATAAGAGTACTTTCAACAATGGGAGAACTGGTCTATGGATTGTTTTTGAGTTACTGATCAGCTGTCTCTCTGATGTGGTCATAGGTCTGTGAGCGACTCAGATCACCAAAAGGTGAACTAGATTGTTTAAAAATGGATTATTAATATGGCATGACCTAAAATGGCAAAGCTGACTGCCCCTATGGGTAGCGCTGTGGAGGAAGTCTAGATAAGCTGTTCTAGTGAGATAAGACTTTCCCCAACTAAGAGGCTAGTAAGTCCCCAGGAGGCCAGCCCACTGCTCCCTCGTCCTCCACCGCTTAAAGTGTGAGGACTTCTTTCAGAGCCACTGGGCAAACGCAGGATACCCTACTGGTTCTAGGATAACGATTTTCTCTCTTAGAAATTTCTTCAGCTGTAAAATGGGAATAATGACCTTTACTCTGTCTCCTTTCTAGAGCTAATGAATCTTAAATAAAGTATCTCTAATAACTTTAGACTAAAAATGCATTATTTACAGAGGGTGGCATATTTCTATTATGAGGCAATAAATTACTGTGTGTTCAGATTCACGTGAACAATATTGCCAGTACTATTGCCAGTATTTTTCTGAATGCCACCAATTTACCAGGAGGAAAACAGATATATTTATGTAACTATGAACATTCCATAGAATTTCTGAGCTTATTTTGGGTAACTTGGACCCACTAACATATCCAGTCGTTGACAAGACTTCTATTGTCACAGAGATCTGGCCTCTATCAGACCAAGTCCCCAAAGCCTATTTCCTTTCTTCTCCCCTTTGCTGTTGAGAGCAGAAGGACCATCTCATCTTGAGAATTCTGAGAAACATCATCATTTTAAAATAATTGGCAATTTCAGAGTACTTGGGATTTGAAAAACTGTAAACCTTTAGTGTCACAGAGGTGACACTTTCTTGGTTAGTGCAGAGCTTGGCAGCCAGAATGTCTGCATTTTGTTTCTCACCAGGAAACTGAGGTCCTTTTATGCTTTAAACAATTCCTTCAATCAATGCTCAGAAGCTGAGGCTTCTCAAATGCTAGCCAGACTTGCTTGGAATGCAAAGCAACAAAAGATACTCAGATAAAAATTGGAGCCTCTTTAGGATGTTACTGGCAGTGCAAGTTAAGTCTTAGACTTTTAAAGGACAGGCAGGCCATCTATGGCCCTGAGATCAGTGTTGGAACTGCCTTCTCCCCTAATCCCCGCTGTCTGGCCTCCTTCTCTCTCCTTTCCCCCTATTATTTTTTACTTTATCACCACCACCTTTCTTCCAGTGCTGTGCCTTAAGCTAGGCACTGGGACCCAGGCTAAGGATTAGGACAGTTGGCTTAAGTTGCAGGGGAGATGCTTTCCAATGGCATATGGGTGACTGACTCCATCAGGACCTCAGAAAAAATTACAAAGCATTTTTTTCTTCCTTTCTGTGCTTCCTCTTTTCTTATTGTAAAGGGCCCAGTGTCTACACGCTGCTCTCTAAGCCCTTACCAGGCCCTGACCTCCCTCAAGCTACTATAGTCTTCAAATGACTTCATTCAATTTCTTTAGTACAGCTGCTCTTACTAGATCTCAGGAACAGAGCAGTCTGATTAAAGGCGCTCACACTAAGGGCCAAA